TTTTTAGTAATCATAGGTTCTCAGCAAGTATAAAGCAAGTATAATCCCATAATAACGGACCCTTAAATCCGAAAGCTTGTATACTCTCCTTTTCTAAAAGACTCAGGGCCGCGCGGGCGAAGGTGTAGTCGGAATCTGGCACCGCTACACGTATACTGTTGAAATCAGCTCAAATACCAGTTCTAGGAGTCAGTCCAATTCAGATCCACCAAGTATTCCATGGGTGTTAATAGATCTTGTTCTCGGCGCATGCGCCTCTGAATGCCATTGCAGTATAGCATTCCGAAGACGCGGTACACCTGTGCCAAATTATTTAGCCTTTTCATTCAATCTTCACTCCAACGAAAGCTTAAAAAGGTATGTCTGCTCCGTCACCACTGCACCTCCTTCCTATACAGCATGAGAACCGTTTGAGATAGCTCGTTATCCCTCTCTGCTAGCTATGGCTCAAAATCAAAGGACAATAGTAAATATGGGAGCAAACTTGAGAAAAGCAGCGTGGAAGTGAGTTTCTACTTTCGATACTAAACGGTCCTAGCTTTTCCTTGTTTTTGAACGCGCGCATTCTCTGCTATCAACTGGAACGCGCTGTGATGTCGGGATTAAATGTTACAAAAAGACGAAGATTCATCAGTCATTTCTAACAATTTGAAAGACCGCAATTTTTTTGCATTTAATTCAATCAAGTTCCGCCAAGTCTCGCCTGCCTTCTCTTGAAGTATTTATTTGGAGGGTAAATCGCTTGAATTTTTGAAGGAAAATGAGCTAATCGTACTATTATGTCATTTCATATGAACACACTGAGATATTTGTAGGAATGACTGAAAAATGATGGGTTAAAAGTCGTGAGCTTCCATATCATTTAGAGGCTGGTAGACTTTCTCTCTCGAATGATACAGAAAGCAACTGTCTGGGGACCGTGATTGGCTGGCAAAAAAAACACATGAAAAGACCCAGAACAGCCTCTGAAAAGACCTAGAACAGCCTTCTCCTCTATTTTTTCAGAAGATCAAGGAGGTATGTTGAAATCTTCAAAACAGTCCTCGCTTTTTACGTTATACTAGCGAGGGAAGATGTGGTGTACATACGTATCAGGTCATCCCATTCAAAAGGCCGAAAATTTTGATTGTGTAAAAAGAAAAGAAAACGGACAGAAAAGTAATATTTCAGCTCCGAATTAGAGTTCCCTCCTTCATCAATGACCCGCTTCCAGGGTCCCAAAAATCTTTGAAAGAAAAGTCATATTTTAGCTCCGAATTAGAGTTCCCTCCTTCATCAATGACCCGCTTCCAGGGCCCCAAAAACATTTGAATCTGGTGCCTTCGGTTTTCAACAAGCGAACTGCTGGTGCTGCTAATTTTGGCGAATAACAAAGCGTTGTAGCCTTTGTCGTCGAAGAGTGCCCTCGACTGAGCAGAACAGTGGGAATAGAACGGCTTTATGTTGGGTGAATGGGGCAATTGAAACCAGGTCTTAGTACTGTTTGTGTCCCAGCAGTGCCCTATAATACAGCTACTCCGGGTCTGGCACTGTGACGAGCAACGGTGGCCTTCTTGTAATTGTGTGGTATCATCCATTTGTCGATCTGATTGCCGAGGAACGTTCAATATACACCAGCACGACAATTTTGTTCTCTGTATAGAGCCGCCGGAAAGCCACAGTGTTGGAATCCTTTTCTACGATATTCATCCACTTGCGCCCACGTAATTCCTCATAGTAGAACTCGGGCAGCTTCTCATCTGCATTCATGCGAAATTGACGATATTGAGTTCTTGCTCGAGGTCCAGGACCATATTTCATCCAGGGCTTTTACAGTCGAGAATGACATCTTATGCTGAGAAGATTACTGCTAGAGGCATAGAATTGGCACTGCGTTCGTGCTTCTACAAGAAAATTATGTACCCATGCGCACACCCTCTTGACCATCCTCAGTTTATCAGACATAAATCGGGGAGCAACTGCTGCAGGGATGTCAGTCTCGCGGGGAAGGTCCGGGCTCTGAAAACAGATATTCGGCGCTTGACTTCATCCACCCTTTTTTCTTGTGCAGGATGAACAATATGGGGCCATCGAAAAAAAAAATTTTTTCCTTTCTTCCTTCTCCGGGCTCCTGAACCAAATCCTGCACCTTGTATTTCGAAAACATCATCACACACAACTACTGTTCCGGTGTAGATCGAATTTGAGCAGCACATTCCCTCCTATGACGCCTAATTCGAAAATCCGGCGCTGATTTTCACTACTCAGGCTTCTTTTCGTTTCTCATAAACTTCTTCTGTGGGTAAGTTCGCCATTTCACAGATACATAGCTGAAGGTACAAGCCTCCAAATGGTATAGTACCTCGCTGCCCTGTCCCCTTTGCTTTTCTGCCATTCCTCTATAGGTCTCTTCGCTTTTGGATGGGATGACCTAATTTTGATCCATTTGGCCAACACAGCCGCGGAGGGGGAGCTCCAAGTATTAAGAAGAAATCTGCATTAGAAAAGCGTGGGTTGGGTTGGCTCATAACTAATAGCGTTTTTTTTACAAGAATTTTAATACGAAAAGTGGGGATCGTTTCTATGACCTTGACGCTACTCGATAGATGATTTTCAACTCAGTGGCAAGGAAAGGTGCTTTTATTAGAGCTTGAAGTTAAGTTAGTCCAAGTGATTCAGAGCTGGGAATTCGGAGCCTTGAATAAACATTGCATGGGCGCCCTCCCGGGAAGCGACTGCATGCAGAACCTCTCCACTAGCTTTCGAACGTCTAAGGCGATTGCGATGTTTGGTCAAGATAGAGGGAGCATTCTAGGACCTCTAACAATTCCTCATTCTTTGGCATGAGTTCCCATCAATAAGGTGATACAGTAAGCTCTCGACTGGACTCAATAGGGGCTATGCTTTTTAGAAAGGTCGAAATTAAAACCTTGAGAACAATGAACCGTTGTAAGCACTTACGAGAGACAGAGCCTCTTTGCCATGTGCTTAACAACTAGTTCTGTGCGGTTTTAGCTTTTTATTAGAAGTAAAAGAGAGGCTGTCGAAAATGCTTTATTCCGTTGACCTGACACACTAGTTTGGCCCTTAAATATTATGTAAAAGAAAAAAGTAAAGAAAACCAAGATAGTTATCGTGTAGGCTAAGGAATTCTCTGCAAAATTATATAAATTTAAGTTTCAAAATTCCCATCTTTGACGCAGTTTTTCGTGTGAGGAAAAAACGCCATGACTTTTAGGCCGACAGAACAGATGAAGTCCTCAGTCGAATGGGTGGTTATAGCGACCACATCCTTTTGAGCTTGCCCGCAAGACCGACTGCAACTGTTTTCAGAGCACGCTCGAGTAATTGAGGATGGTCAATACGTTGTGCCTTTGGGTGCCCCTTCGTTACAGAAGCTTAAATCGCAGAATCGCTTCGATGCTTGCAGCAGCAATGTTTTCCGTCCAACTATAAGGGAAAATAGGTGATGGATGCAATGTGATGCCAGTGAGCGAAAGCTCACCCGAACACCTAGTGTTATAACTGTTATTGTATGGTTCTCGTGTTGAAGGCAAAAATCTCTTGGGCAAAAATCTCTCGAGTTTTGTGTTGGGGGATAGAGGAGGGGGACGTGCCGACTGGACGATTTTCCGCTTCATGACGCTGGACTTTGTTATCAGAGGAGTCGCTTCATTAATGGAGTAAACGTTCTATTAGAAACCGCCCCAGTTAGATCGGAGGTCTGTGGTCTGTAGTCAGCTCCTTAACTCCACTTTGATCTCGAGTCTCTAAGCGCTTTTTGCGTGCCCATGCACTTCACTCGACCTGCTTTGCTAAACGCACGGCAATACTAACCATGAGAAGGAAAGCAGCTCAAAGGTTCCCAACAGAATTAAATTATATCCACCATTTCCCGTCGGGAATCCTGAATTGAAGCGCAAACGTGCCACGCACACTTCTTCCGCTACAAATATCAGTCCTCATCATTATGGATTGTCGGGGCGGCACAGCCGCGCAGCAATGTGACGCGACAGCGGCTGCGGCTCCGTGACGGCGAATCAGCTCATTTCCATAGAATTCGGCTGCGAATTCCCACTTTTTCAACTCTTCGAGCTTCGAAAATGGAAGGTGAGTTATTTGAGTCATTTTGAGCAATTTTGATTTGTACTGACTCTGAATGAATCTGGAAGAATGCAAGCCATTTGAATAAATGCCTGAAATAAGACACAAGGAAAAGAGCATATAATTGACTTAAAAATGAAGGAAATCAGAGCCGGTACAATTCAAAATTGTTCAAACTAACTCGCCTTCCACTTCAGAAGCTTGAAGAGCTGAGAAAGTAGGAGTTTGCAGCCGAATTCTATCGAAATCAGCTGATTCACCATCACCGAGCCGCAGCCACTGTCGCGTCACAGTGCAGCCCGGCTGTGCCGCCCCGACAGTCCGTAATGATGAGGACTGTACCTTTAAGTATGATCCACGCAGGAAAACAAAAGAATAGTTCAACGGACGAACGCTTTAATGCTTATTTCTTTCAAAACACGACGCATGGTTGATATCTACGCAAGACTGCTTATGTTTCGGCAGAATAGCCTTCGTCGAGATCTTATCAGTTTACGAGATGAGCTGCGTGCTGCGATTTTAATGGGTAGGAGTGTTTTGGAGGGACATGAACACCACATTTCCTACATGTCAAACTCGTGTCCGACTCGAAAAAGAGTAGATATTTAAGTAATGGGTGCCGAAGTTTATCGCGAGCTAGAATCGGTGATTAAAGCACTATCACACTCCGAGAGCACAAAACTAACCCAATGTCTGATCGTTTCCCGAGAGAGCAAGCCTCACAAAACTACTCCTGGTATACGATGTGATTCGTAATACGAGCTACTTATTCCGCTTTGAGTATTCTTCTTATTACCTTTGCTTGCTAAATTGAAAGTTCGTTACGGAGCGATTTATTTTAAATGCTCTATTTCGGAATTTCGGAAGAACGTGGAACCGCAAAGCGATCTGTTTAGTTCTCTATCTACGACCGTGTAATGCCACAGTGGATTTGCGGATCGACATTCTTCGTAAGAGCAGGTCCGGCTACGGTGGACTTCTTCAAGAAGGTAATTTTCGAACAACTGTAAAATACCACTTCATTCGCGAAAATCGAAGGTTTCTGGATAACCATGCCAAAGTAATATAATTGCAGCTATTGTGCTGTGATCTTCTGGAATCCTCTTATGAGAGAATTCGTTGACATTATGCGAAATGCGACACCGGTAAATGAGCTTTTCAATAAAAACGGCGAAAGGGTGCGCTTACCATTAGCTATGACTCTTCCTTTTCTCCCTAGGGTTAGCTCGCTCCGCTGGGTTAGCTCATCTTGTTACATGTCCCCCCCCCTCACGTCTCCACCTAGTGCATCTTCTGAGTGACATTAATTCACTTCATGATTCTGACCATAATAATTCCATAACAACTTTTTCAAAAACTTCTGTGTATAGCTGAATTCCTTTCTAATTTGCGACCCTCCAGAAAAGTTTGATATTCGTGTGTTCGCCAGCAACGGATGTATTTTTAAGATCAAAATAGCTTTTAAGGTCGCGCTTCTGATGACTCGTCGCCAGTCTCCAGATTCAGCAATAATGACATACTTATGTGGTGCTAAATTCTACAAATGCGCCACACTACCACGGTGGTAAGTATCGTACTAACCTTGCAGATAGCACCGAAATGCTCTATGCTATGTCTATGGGTAATCATGCGTGCAGTCTTTCGAAATATGTTCCTGCATAAGTTATGTGAGGGCACAGAGTGAGAGCTGCCGAACACTTCTGCCTTACTATACTGGTCCATTATTAATATTAATATAAGTCAAGAACTACGCATCCCATTCGACAATCTCAAAATTTACACTGCGGATTTCACGGACATGTTCACAAATTTAGAACATGACCTTATCATAAAGAAAATGCAAGAACTTCTTAACATTTGCTTCAAGAATGCCAACAGATCCGTGATTGCCGCTAATGGTTATTTTCTATACAGATGGTAAAGAAATTAAGAGCAACTACAGATATCACAAATCCAACGATTTAATATACCTTATCGACTATTTTTTACGGAACAGTTTTTGTGTTTTTGCTAATAATACGTTTAAGCAGACTAAATGTTTCCCACAGGGCGGCAATTTCAGTCCACTATTGGCAGATCTTACGCTTTCTGTAATGGATATTACTATGCTAGATCCAAAAAGTTTAGTTTATTCATTCCCTATGACGATTTGCTTGTTGTACACAACCAAACTGAGCTGATGTGGATGATCAACTTTCTCAAGTTTATCAAAATACTCTTCAACTGAAAAAGATTCATAAGAGTGAAGTTTCCAGCACTTATTTACATTTAACAATCAATATTCATAACGGTAAAGTTAGTACTAAGTTGTATAATCTAACGGATGATTTTGGCTTCAATGTAATCAGATTTCCGTATAGTGACACAAACATTTCCCTTATTAACAAAACCTCTGTTATATATACGGAAACGTTGAGGTTAGCAAATACTTGTTCGTTCTTCGACATATTCGTAAGCAAAATAACGGATATGGTCGCGACTCTTTCGAAAAATGGCTGCGAAGAAGATTTTCTTATTACTAGCATTGTGAAATGTATTTACAAAAATAAATTTATCAGTTACAAGTACTCAATTGCAAATAACTATAGAAAGGTAAGTAGACTAGTTAGAGGAATTCTCATTGGCAGCGGTGTTCGACGCTAGTTCTCATTTTAGCACTACAATATTTGATTTGATCTTTTGTTATCCGCTGCGACAGTGTCCTTTACGCAATATTATCTTAGCTCATTTACCCCATTTACAACAAACCATTTTTCTTCCTCTTACAAGTATTTGCTACTCACTCCTGTTATATCCTTCCTTCATTTCTCCAGTACAACTCCTTCTCATCTTTGTTGCATGAATTTTGCATGTCAACCTTTTTTTTTTACATTTTTTTCGTTTTATCCTATTCCTTTACTCCTTCCCCTATGTAGTCCATGTCCATGTCGTCAACCCTGTCGCACTGAAGAGCCCGGGGGTTGGTAAGGCATCGATGATTCGTCTGCGATAACGGGCGAAACGGATCATCTGTGCTTCGGAGTGTATTCCTTTCCCCAATGTTTGTTTTTCTTTGTTTCTATTTGGCACCACTGTAACAGTAGGTTTTGTCATCAAATCGAGGCTATATAGTGCCATAGTGAGTAGCCCACACCACGTTTGCGGTAATCCTGGCTCGCCTCCCGTAGAGACCACATCCCAGCAAGGGATCGACAAAGACCACGACAAAGGCGTTATCCTTTCCTTCATATTAAATTATGGAACTACAGATTAAGGAGAGGGATAAGTTCTGCACTTAGAACACCAGAATTGGTAAGGTATGAACATATATTTATGATTGATGTTCATTAAAATAAACCACAAAGTGATCCGCAGTACAAGGAGGTCTCAGGATAAGGTATGCAGCATAGCACATGACAAAAAAAGTATCAAACAGCTCTGGAAATAGCCCTTAGCGACGGAAAACTGTAGATAGGTTGCAGTTGTCTGTTGTGGTAAGCGCCGTGTTCGAATAGATCTCAGTTCCATCCTGAAAGAGAGAGTCACGGTGACGGATTAAAGGCACATGGTGCGCTCAAACACATTGAGGGTATATGATACATCATCACCCCAGCTGTCGATGTGTCGTGGTTTCCCCGCCCGAAACTGCACGGGGTCAGGCGGGACCGTGAGAAAGTCTAATTCTTTGCTACACCGCCCAACATGCAAATTGCGGCACAAACTCCTTTGTGCTAACAGCCGTCCGCGCGGCGCGTTTCGCGCGCGGCTCTCTTGGCTTTTTGCCAAGTCCTGGCCTGTGATTGCCCTTTGGAATACAAGTAAAGCGCAATTTCCTGATGCGGATAACTTTTAGGCGCTGCAAAATAGGTACCGAAGATGATGACGAGGGCCAGAGCTCAACAGCAACTGTGCTGCTTCTGCAGTATCCCTCAGAGGCCGCGCATTTCCACGAAACATGAAAATAAAAACGGTCTAAGCGTTGCACTGGTTAGTTTAAGGTATTTCTGAGGTTTCGGAGCCGATTTCGCGCCAGATCTTAGAAATTTACACGCGATTTCAATTAATTAGCGTTTCCTTAATTTTTTCATATTTGTTTTATTTACATCTATATTGGGCTGTTCTTCACTTCTAGCCTTTGTCATCTTCATCACCTTCTAATCGCGCTTTGAAGCATGAGCAACACCACAAATGTTTTCCGTCAGGAAATTGCGCTTTACTTGCGTTCCAAAGCGCAATTACAGGACTTGGCAAAAAGCCAGAGACCCGAGCGCGACACGCGCCCCGCGGACGGCTGTTGGCATGAAGGAGTTTGCGCCGCATGTTGCATTTTCGGCGGTGTAGCAAGGAATTGGACTTTCCCACGGCCACCTACCCTAACCACGTGCAGTTTCTGGCGGGAAACCACGACACATCGACAGCTGGGGGCTGGTAGTCTCATACACCCTTAATGTGTTTGAGCGTATAATGTGTCTTTAAGATGATGACTGCACTTGCAAATGGAATTGCGGTAGCAGTAGCAAATGGAATTGCGGTAGCAGTACCGCGTTTTTGACCAGATCTACAATCTGACCGAAACCATTACTTCTTTGATTCCGATCAGGAAATCTCTCTTGGTCGTCGTTTAGGCTCAGTTTTGTCCACTAACATCTCTGATAGTTGACCAGTCAACTGATCTGATGCTAATTACCACTGCTACGAGAACTTCTCGAGAAATTATTCCTGACATAGTCTGGTCATAGTTATCACTCTACAAGAACCGACAGTGGGAAACAAGCACAAATATTGAATTGCCTATGGGTGTTAGGGAATTTTTTTCGAAAACACCCGGATCTGGGGATTACACTGGAATGACCACTTCCTATACTACACTCATAATACAATGTCATTTCGCTTTTTTTATCAGCAACAGTCAGCAACGAGGAACGGTCAGACCACGCTTGCCGGACACAATCGATGTAGACGTAAAAATGGTATATCTACACATTGCGAACGCAGTAGATCTTTCGGAGTGGTAATCATCTATCCGGAAATTGGATTTTGCTCTGGCGGGACGGAGAAGGGAGGTGCGGAACGCCCTCAAAGTTACCAAAGTGTTGTGTGGTTGTGAATATCCTCTGATATTCCTCGTTCACATACCGCTTGAAGAAAAGGAATTAAGGCGCAAAGTTGCTTCAGTGAAACATCTCTTTTACCAGTGACTCCGCCTCCAAAGTCGGCCTTCCAGCCAAAAGTATTGCTCTCGGGAAAGTATCAAGGAGTGGATGCATTCGATGTCTCCTGTAGAGTCCTAGGGTTCATTACCGGGAATCAGCCGACGAGGATCGTCCCACCGCGCGGTCTTTCCGGTTTTTTACCTCCACAGTTGTTTGAGGCTAGAGGCGGCCTGACAAACGCGTTTCCAACGTTCCCTTTGGCATTTTCTCCTCGAAGACGGTGGAGAAATTTCCTTCCACCATTCTGCAGTATCACCAGGGCTTTTTATCGTGGACCGTACCTTTGAATAAACTCAGTGAATCTGAGCTGCTCCAACATTACAAACGTTCCAAGAGCGTCACTCTGAACTACAACAATCAGTTACTAAGAACAGTATTGGCTTTCGATGTCTTCGAGGACATGGCCTAGATCTCTTTTCCACTTGCAAACAACGAATACCAGTTCGCATCTCGGAAGATTCGCTGCACTGAGCCATTGTCTTATTAATGTCCAAATCTGAGATTAAACCACATCTGAGATTTTTGACTCAAGTTCGAAGCATGGGTGGTTACCGGGAGCGCAGGCTGGTACGGCCCCGAGCATGGCCCCGTTTATTATTCAAAAGCTACCTGATCCTGAAGCATGGTTTTTGAACCTAATAGGCACTCATACGCGCTTTTGAAAGAAAAGCTCCTACAGTGCCCGTGTTCTCATCATCTACAAAGCTTCATGATCGTAGTTTCAACTGCACTAGCTGTTCTTTTCATGCACACGTACTCCATACGGAAATTTTACTTTAAAGCATCATATTGTCACTTTCAGCCATCCAACCACCCATCTCTTATTACTTCACTGTTTCTGATTAAAACAAGGCTATTCCATCCCAAGATCTGCTACTGCTGACTTGCTAGCATGATTCAGCTGTCTTTTGCTATTCGCCTATGAACCTTCCCATTAGTTGCTCAAGGCCGCTATACTTCCCACAGTAAAAGCTTTGTGAATAGCTTGTTATTAACATGAATCGCTCAAATAAAAGTTAGTTCCGCAATTTTTTCGCGGTGTAATTATCCCCTCAAATGAATCAGAACCCTACCTCGCTGAGCTGAGCTTAAATGCTTCTAGGGTTGTGTCGTCGTCGAACTTCTTCATGGGTAACCGTAACGTCACCCCAGTCATCATTCAGGTTTGTACAACTTATATTTTTTTCTTTTTCTGCTTCCCTTAGCCTTGAGGGTGCTGTCGCGTATACGGAACAGATATTGTCTAGGATAGACCATCATTTAAACCTGCTTAATTTCCGGATAAATATAGCTCATTCAAACAGGATTGGTATGAATCTTTCTTTACCCCTGGCCGAAGGTTCGGCACCAACCAGCTATTCGAACCGCATGCGAAACTGGCCTACCTTGAGCTGGTGATCAGTCCGGCCAAATTAGATCTCAAAATGAGCTCTACCACCACTTACCATCGACCTGATGTAAATGGTAAGCCGCAGAGGGCCGATCCTGAACGATGCAAGTTTATGAGTAGTGCAAATATAACGAGTTCCGTGCCGCAATCTCGGGTCCATGTGCCTGAATAGACTCAGTCACCAGAAACTAACCTCTCCGCGACATTGAACTGCCCTTTTCTGACGAAGGCGAAGGCGCCGAAACGCTGTACGACTACAAATAAAGATTTACACAAATCTCGGACGGCTTGATTAACTTATTTCGATCTGTAAATGCTAATGCTATTTCATGGAAAATATGTGGATATTTCATTTCGGTATGGTTGCCTTTGTACAGTGTCTTGATTATATTTGTGTGCCTGTTTTTTTTCTTTCTACATGAGCTCCGGCCACTGAGATTTGAGAAAAAAGGTCACATCATACAGTTTCTGTGTGCGATTTGTGGTCAAACAAGTGTGCACTGATCGCATAGTCCTGGTAATTTCGCCCAAATAGATGTTTCTCCACGCCACGCGGTCTAGCGCGTCCGACATGCTCTACTTCAACTTCCACCTCAGTTTTGGATATTTAAAAGCAGTTTCCACGATCAGGTCATTAGGTGATTCGTCATTAGCAACAAAGAAAGGAGGAGAATTGAGAGCACCCAAAGATATCTCCTCGGCAGCCCCACAATTTCATTGGACGAGTTTGACGGACATGCTTATAAACTGACTGTGGTCTCTGTGCAAATGCATGCACTGGGTCACAAATTATCTCTTCGCATCACCCAGTACTAGCCATCCCACACTAGAAAAGAAGACGAAAAAAGCATCGGAGCAGAAATACCAGACCGGCGTTACGCCATGTCACGCCGTCAGTGTGGAAATCAAATGGGAGGGGGTTCGTACTTAACCGCAAAGGAGGGAAACGGGGTCTTAAGCGCAGATTTCATTCAGAAGTGTGAAGAGCGGTAATACCGAGATGTCGAGCTATGAAATTCATGGTTCTGGTCGTGAAGAACGCGAAGAAACACCTGAATACAGAAGCAAGTTGCAAGCTCAGAAGGGGATGGGTGGCACAAGTGGCACGGTAGCCACCCACAAGGGCGTTATTATCAGTAAAGTGCACGATCAGCCACACACGGAAAAGGGGACCTCCTCCCCCTATATACTCACTTCCACAGCTTTGGCAGTAGGTAACTGCCGACTTCGTGCAGTGCCTCTGCTTGCCAAAGATGCAGACGACACATTCTGGAGTGTCACACAGTGTATATTATAGGCGGTTACGAACCATTAGACGTTAAAGATTACATGGGGATATTTCCACAATCCTAATCTCGTTTTCCAGATAAGGTCGATGTTGTAATGATCGGACTGTCATACTCATTTGATCGGAGATATCGGAGATGAAAGGCTGGCAAAAACAACTTTATTACGCATCGAATTCTCAGACATGTGGAATACTCCTTTCGCGCCACCCCAGAGCAAGGTTATCCATTGGATAACGCAATGCCTTGAGCAGTGTGCAAGAATACCTTCAACTCGATATAGGACGAGACCACACTGGCGACCCTGAACATATTTGTTACTACAACTCGCTTCATTTTAATCGGGTGAGCCGAGGAATAATGATCCAAAATGAACTCACTGCTTGACTCTCGGGACCATTTCGTACTGAACGCCCGGGTAATAGCTGGACTTGAATATTGAGCAACGGCAGCCAATTATCGACGGGTTTCTCCCATGAGTTTGATGTTGTTCGACTGCTCATTCAGTAGGTCTAAACAGGCAGTCATTTGACCTTGAGTCGAGCATATTTATAATGAGACAGTCGTCAATGTATCGATAGTATAGAGTTGGTCTACGGTCTAGTACGGGTTCCTCGACTACATTGGACATGAATGCTATGGCTATCACAGGGGCTAGCCGCAGTCCCATAGTTTGGCCTCTCAGCTGTTTGTAATGATCACCTACCCATCTGACAAATGAGCATCTTAAGCACTCCTGTAAAACCGTCACTACCTATGAGGTCGTGAATCCATGAAGTGAGGGCGTTCATGCTCACAGAGCAACTTGTACATCCAGTGCCGCGTCATTCCAAACACTGGTGTGCAGTGATGTCATTTCAAACAATTCTATGGAATATTACACATGAAAAACCGTTTGCCAACCGATTCATGGCCGCTACCATATGTATATTTTGTTATACGCTCGTGTTACAGTTACTCTTTAGATCGATCATGAGTCGAAACTGCCGAAGATGGAACTTTTCAAGAGAGAAAACTTTGTTTTCATTAATTATGACGGATCGTGCAATGCCTCTGGAGTCATCCAACTGAAGTGAGTTGTCCGAAACTTCGAGTTAATGGATATCTTATGCAGTGAAAAAGTACACAGTAGACGAAACATAAGAAATGCGCATTTTGCCCGTTGGTTGTATCTTTTGACTCAAAGGGCAAGTCTGTTTTCTCAAAAGGTCTATTTCAAACTGATCTTCTACTCAACTAAACTGAAGAGGTTGCCCGTCTTGCAGATAAGTGCAGCTCAAAACTCGACTCAAAATTAAGTGATTAAACATTTATCAATTTTATCAATGTAAGATTAACATATAGTACAAAGCTCAGGAAAATCTTATGTCATACAAGGAAACTTCAACAGTTTCATGAGTCACATCATCGTAAATAAAGTCGTCAAAAAAAGGTTACACGCAGGAATAAATTCCAAAGGCTCATAAACCGCACAATCGGAAGAGTGATTAGTGCAAGGATAGAAAGGAAGTCGAAGGAAAGAATTGTTAGTAAGAAGCAAAGGAGACACGGGGCTCACTTAGCCTCTCTCGCCCTTTTTTAGAGCACTTTGGCACGCGATCACGCACGACTGGTTTTGAACGATCTGCAGAAGGGTGATCAATGAAATCGCATACATCTGCGATAAAAACTGTGACTTAATAAACGGCGCCATTGTTTTGCACAGCTCGACTTCGGCAATTCACCACCATGCGCGCGGCGGGAGCTGCTACCACGTTGCCATTGCTGTTCGCCCCACACCGGCTCGGTGTACAATCTGCGGTTTCTGTTCTCGCCCTGCGGTTTCTTCACGGCACCCGGCGACGGGCGGGCGAAGGGTTATCGCTTGCGCCTTCGCCACTGTGCTTCAATCAGAAGCCTCTTTTATGCCCTATCATGTGGGAGGAGGAGGAGAGAAAAGAGGATTGAAGAAATAGTGAACGCTCATAGAGAATTGGTGATAATGGTGAGCAGAGAGTACAGAAAAGTCGAGAATCAGAGCGTATTGTTCCACTCAACAGCGGAACTGGCAGAATGATTCCCGTTGAATGGGACGTGGCGTTATAGCGTTATAGGGTCACAACCAACTGTTGGCAATCTGCCAAACC